AAACCCTGTGATCAATCCTGTTTCATCTCACCTGATCAGCAGCATTTGACACAACTATCACCCCCTCTTCCCAGAAACATTTGATTCACCTGGCATCCAACACACCACTCACCTTGTTGTGTTCTTCCCATCTCACTTCTTATGTCTAAAATGATCCTCCTGATCTTTCCACATCCCCCTAACTGCTCCACTTGTATTCCTTCCCATTTCTGTTAATGACAATTCCATCCTACTAGTTGCTCGGAATCAAAATCTAGAGGTCATATTTGACTCATCTCATTCTCTCATGCTCCACTGCAGCCAGACAGTGGACCTGTTGGCTCTATCTTCCACATAGATTCAGGTGCTAATCACATTATACCATTGTCACTGCTACCACCCTATTGCAAGCCACCACTCATCACAAGTGGATTAATATGATACCTCCTGATTTTCCTGCTTCGACTGTTGCTCCTTTTGCTCTCCACCCAACAGTCAGAGTGACCCTGTTAAGTGAGGTTAGCGTATCAAGTCTTTGCTTAAAACACTCTAATAGATTCCTGTCTCAAATTAAGAAGCCAAAATCAGCACAAAATCTTCATATATGATATCCCTGCCCTCTCCCCTGGTCCCTGCATCTTCTAAACTTTCTTCTTACTCACTGCTTCAGCTACAGCAGCTTTCTTGCTATTCCTGGAAAAAGCCAGAGATACTTGGGTCTTTTCAATGGCTCTCCCTATGTCTGGAGTGCCTTATCCTAGATACCCACCTGACTCCCTCCCTCCCCTTCTTTGTTTTTTTACTCAAATATCACCTTCCCTCACCACTTTCTACACTCCTACCTGCTAAATCCCCATCTCTTCCCCTGCTTTTTCACTAGTATATACTATATAATTTTACTTATTTATTTTATTGTCTATCTCTTTACAGTGTAAACTTCATGAAGTCTGGGATTTTTGTATTATTTTTTACTGACATAGTCCCAGTGCTGGCATGTAGTAACAGTTCAATAAAATTTTGTTGAATAAATTAATGAATTATATTTAATGCATACATACAAAGGGCAAATGGAGTACAAATCTCTTTTGAAATTCCTAAAATGTAATTTGATAATACATATCAGAAGTCTTAAATATATACTTAATAATTTCACTCCTAGAAATTTATCAATGCAGGATTTCCCTAACTAATATAAAGGAAACATTGCTCCAGCATATTAATAGGTATTTGGAAAACAAATAAAATTATTAAAAAAAAAAATCTTAGCCTCCTACGGTTTCAGACTTGGTTGCACATTGTCATTACTTAAGGAGTTTTAAAATATGTTGATGACCGAGTCCCACCTTGGGAGATACTGATTTAATTGTTTTGGACTGGTTGTCTCTCTTTTTGTGATTATTAGCAGCCTTTGGTGAAGTTACTGAGATCCATTAGTTCATTAGGGGCTCTAGGTGGTAATCATGTTAACATCTCTGGGCTTGTATTTTTTTTGTACACAATGTGAAAGGGTTAGCGTACATTACCTGTAAGCATCCTTAGAACTGGGATATGCTATGCTCCTATGGGTAATACTCTTAATTAGGGGTTTGTTTGAAAGCATTTACTGTTTCTTCCTGGTGATTTACTGGCATATGTTTGTGTGCATGTATATAAGCTTGATAATGCTCCAAAATAAGAAAAGGTATCCATCTTTATTATAAAGAAACCACAATAGTAAGTCAGAATTCTAAAAAGAGATACCAAGCCTTCTACTCCAACATGTCAGGCATGATATTAATCTCTATACATACTGTCACAAACTCCCTGTAGGGCCTGTTAAGGAACAGGGCTCTGCAACTGGGCCAGCTGGGTTTTTCAAAACTGTTATTTATTTATTCATTTTATTAATAGGACAAGGGGAAACATCAGAAAACAGTAGCAAGCAACTCTTTTTGAAGCATCTTGGCACTGTATGTTGTCCCATCAGTCTTCAGTTTGTTTATTTGCTAATAATATTGTTTCTTAACCTGAATAAACAATAAATCCAGGTAGCTATTTGAGGTATGATACATTTGAAAAGCCTTTTAGAACACAGAAGCCAAAGTTGTTCACTCTGTCATTAAATGTCATTAAAAAGATGCTGGGCACAGTGGCTCATGCCTGTAATACCAGAACTTTGGGAGTCCAAGGCAGGAGGATTGCTTGAGCCCAGGAGTTTGAGACCAGCCTGGGCAACATGGCGAGACCTGGTCTCTACTACAAAATAAAAAATAAAAACAATCAGCCGGGTGTGGTGGCATGTGCCTGCAGTCTCAGCTATATGGGAGGCTGAGGCAGGAGGACTGCTTGAGCCTGGGAAATCGAGGCTATAGTGAATTGTGATTGCACCTCTGCATTCCAGCCTGGGTGACAACAAGACCCTGTCTCAAATAATAATAATAATAATAATAATAATAATAAAGATAATGTAGCTGAGTTGAATTAATCCATTTAGGGATGCATTTCTTCCCCAGGGAAACTACAGATTTATTCCTCACAAGTAGATTTCACAATCCCCACACAATCAGATTTGGGGGATCAGATAACATGTTCACTGCACTTATCACTGTGAATTAGAAACCCTTTGAAAAATCCAGTTACGCATTTAGATAAACAAACATATGTATTTTAGGGCAAATAACCTGTTTTGTAGAAAAAGTTATTACATGTAACAGGCAGTTATTTTGAAATGCAAGCTCCATAACTTATTATAAAATGGGATCAATTACTTCACATAAGTAACACATCAAAAAGTGTACATCAGATCAAGCCTGGTGGCTCATGCCTGTAATCCCAGCACTTTGGGAGACTGAGACGGGAGGACTGCATGAGCCCAGGAGTTTGAGACCAGCCTGGGCAACATAGTGTGATTCCATCTCTACACAAAATAAAATAATTAGCTAAGGCGTGGTGGTGCACACCTGTAGTTCCAGCTACTTGGGAGGCTGAACCTGGAGGATCACTTTAGCAGAGGAGTTCCAGATTACAGTGAGCTATGGTGCAGCCACTGCCACCAGTCTGGGTGGGTGAAAGAGTGAGACCTTGTCTCTAAAACAAAAACAAAACCCAAAAAAGTGTAAAGTCCTTATAAGTGTAAAATGCCTGGCCCACAGCAAATGCTCAGTGTATTAGCATTTATCACTATATGAATGATTTATGTGGTTATTGTTGCAATCATTACTAAACATTACTTCTGAGTCTTTTGGTTAAATTGTTTTAGGAAAATTAAGAAAAGACCATTGGTTTTTTTTTTTTTTTTTTTTTTTTTTTTTTTTTTTAGTTGCCAATTATGTTACAAAGTGGATTATATCTGTATGGTGAGTGAGCACACTGTGGTTCTTGTCAATTTTAAAAATTGTTAAGTTTCACTATACAAGATATTTAGAATCAAACAGTACTTGGTACAAACAACTGTTTCATTGATGTTGTAATAGTTTTAAATAGATGGATAGTGCAAACAAAGTGAAAATAATTTTGGTAATTCCAGAAACCAAAACCTGTGAGTGAGCATGGGTACTGAGCACTGGGTAAAATTTACAACAAAACCTTTATCAATGAGGACCCAGATAACAGAACCTTCCATGTGCAGGATCCTAATGGATGCCTTTCTGTATTATAGTGGATCTCAGCAAGCATCTTTACACTAAAACGTGGTGTTGAGGTTATGGGCATAAAGTGGAAGAGTCCATTATCTCAGAGTAAGCTTATGTTTAGGCTGTGAAAAATGGAGGCTTGAAGAACAACATCCTTAGAGAAAAGAAGACCGTGAAGTAATCTTGTGTATGTATTAAAGAATGAGTAATATAATCATTATGACCTAAATGAGTAGACTGAGTGGCAGATCTATTTCACTGAATGGTAATATAAGATACCTGCATAGCAATAATTGTTCTTCTTGACCTCTCCTTTTTCTTTTTATTAACCACACCTTTGGGAGTGATTTAGCGGTAGCTGAAACCAACTAGCCTGGGCCAAAGGGTTTCTGTATTGTCCAGACCATCTTGTTTCTCAAGGCTGCCTTTGGTTTTGGTTAATGAGAAAGCATATGGTTGCCATTTCCTTTCTGAGAACTGCTGAGTTGGTAGGGAAGGAAGTAGGTGTTCAGCTGAGTTCTCTCCTGTGGAGGAAGGGAAGGGCGGAGCCACAGCTTGGAGCACCAGCTTCTGCTTTTGTGGCGCTTGATTTTCTGCTTCTGATTCCTTTTTATAAAATGTCCATACAGTTAGTCTGAACAGCCCAACCTAATCCCTTTTCTGGGGGCAAATGATTGAGAGTTGAGTGGCAAACTTTCTTTATCCAAACTCTTGGCCGTAACTCTTAACATTCTTAATTGGTTTCCTGTCTATTCTTAATCTCTTGAAGATCTTGTCAAACCTTAAAAAAAAAAAAAAAAAAAAAGAGAGAGCTGCCCTTTAAATATTGCTTCTGTGAGAATATTTTGCCTGTGTAAGAAAATACAGCTTTGAGTACAATCCAACTGAAGTGTCAAGTCCTGCCAGATAACCATGGTAGAATCAGAGCTTCTGATCTGGATTGGGATTGAGGTTGGACACTAGTTCTGCCATTAACTGGCATGTTTCATCATTTGTTTTATTTGATGTTGAAACCATGCTTATAATTTTATTTTACACCACTTTCCAGTATGACATCAGTGTCTTTGGCACCTTGGGCTTTATTAGTTCATGAAATGGAAGCTTCTGTTTCCTTAAAAATGCCTAGACTCTCTTGCTAATGTTGTGACAATTTTTGCAATTCTTTCTAGGGCTATAATATCTATGCTGCTTGTTTGCAAATATTTGGGAAGTGGTGGTTCATCTGAAAATACTCATAAAAGTAGGGAAAAAATTAAGGCTTCTGACACTTTTCCCAACATTTCTGTTACTACCACCAAGAGTTAACTAGATGATTCTTTAATGCCCCACTACTTTATCCTGCTATTTTATTTCTTCAGTCTGTTTTTGACTCTTATAATTACACCACTGCAAGCTAAGTCTGTACATTACCTTTAGGCTGGAGAGCTCTGGGGTCAAGATTGACTAGATTCAAAACCCAGTTCAGCCATTCTCTAGCTATCTGGTCTCTGGTAAGTTCCATCGCCTGTAAAACGGGGATTAAAAAGGGGAAAATACTGAGTATGTACTATTGGCTAGGCACTAGTTGGACAATTTATGATCCATTTAATCAACCTTCTGCGAGGCAGGGATCCCCATTTTATTATGGTTAAAAAGCTGTAATAAAAGTCAATTGACCTAAAGGTCTCACAAGTAAATAACTGGAGCCCAGGTTTGTCTCTAAAGCACATGCTCTTTAGAACTACGCGACATAAAGAAAACTTTATTGATTTTTTCCCCCAGATTATGTTTCAAGGGTTCCCACTGCTGTTGAATAATTAATTCCTTTTAGATGTACAAAAACAAGTGCAAAGTAAAAGAAAGGCAAAATGGGGAAGGTGTGTAATATGAGAGGCAGGGGGTAAGGAAAGATGAGAAGTCTACAAAGGAATTTACGTGTCTATTTGCTTAGTATTACACAGTGGAAGGCCACGTTCGACATTTGTGTTGCAGTCCTGCCTGCTCAGGGTTTGCTGGGTGACCTTCTGCAAATTACCTCACCTTTCTGGGTTTCAATTTAAGTATGCCTGAAATGAGGCGGTTGAATTGATCTCCAAATCCCTTCTGGTGCTAAACTTTCAGCCTTGTAGCCACTGACCTTATTACCATCCCAGCGTGTTTTCCCTTGGTCCCGGACCAGCCGCCCTTGCCCGAACTCTGTTCTTACTCGACTGCGAACTATCTAACGTACTCACAGGTTCTAAACTCCACCGTTCCTCGTCACCGAGGGACTAAAGGGCCCGGGTAGGGGCTCAACTCTGAGAGAAAAAAGGCAAGAAAACCCCAAAGTCGGACAGTGAGCGGCAGAAGACCTCAGCACGAAAGCGAGGCGGCGCAGAACTGCCACTGCGCCGCGACAGCTGAAGTGGGCGGAGAATGGGCGGGCGGGGAAGGCGGGGCCGAGCGATTGGAAGGACGAGGGGGCGGAGCCCGCGCTGACAGCCCCCGGAGAGGAGCGAGGGAAGCTCTGCGGGCAGCGGCGGCTGGGTCCCGCCTCTTCGCTTCCCCTCCCCCGCACCAGGCGGGCGTGGCAGCAGGCGTGCCGACGCAGCGTGACGTCACAAAGGGGGCGGGGCGGGCCGAGGGTCCTGCCGGCGCGCGGGCGTGTTCATCAGTCGCTGTTTGGGACGCTGGGCGTGCGGTGTTCTGTCTCCGCTCCCGTTTCGCTGTCACAACCCGTTCTTTCCCGGAGCCCGGGACAGGCTGGGCGCGCGCCCGTGTGAGTGAGCGGGACTCAGGGCAGAAGTGTCCCCTCACTGCGTTTTTTTTTCCCTTTTATCCAAAGAACGGGGCAGTTAGCACGCTTGCCGTCCTGTCGCCCGGTTGGGAGCGGGGTTGGTTTGCGGAGTGGTTCGCCTTTTTTTCTTTAGAACTTGTGAGCCCTTTTTTTCTTCCCTTTTTCTTTTTTTAGGCTCAGTGCTGTCCGGGCTGGTTTCCCCGGTCCCTGACTAACCGCTTTCTGCCCCTTCTGTCGCCACCCCTGCCCAAGGTCGCCCCTCTGCCCTCGCCCCTGTCCCGGGAGGGTGGGAAGCTTTGACCCCGCCCTGCCCACTCGCGTCTCCGCAGCCGTAGCCGCACCTGCCCCAATATGAATAGGGTCAACGACCCACTTATTTTTATAAGAGATATTAAGCCCGGAATGAAAAACTTAAATGTCGTCTTTATTGTCCTGGAGATAGGTAAGTGGGGTTTGCAGCCCACTCCACCGCCCGCTGTGCGTCCCGGGGCGGGAGACAGGGGCGCCGCCGCTGCGCGCCCGGGGCTCCCCTCCCCCTCCTTCCCTTCCCCCACCCACGTGGCTCCTGTGGCCTCCGCCGGAGATCGGATCCTACCTGAGGCGGGAGCCCTGGGCTTGGTCACTTTCCACCTTCCAGATGTATTAAAATACCGGAGGAGGAGTTAGCCTTTCTGGATGTCCTCATTATCTAACACCCCCTCCCTTTGATTTTTAAATCCTCACAGGACGCGTGACCAAAACCAAAGACGGCCATGAAGTGAGATCGTGCAAAGTAGCAGATAAAACGGGCAGCATCACTATTTCCGTGTGGGATGAGATCGGAGGTCTTATACAGCCAGGGGATATTATTCGGTTGACCAGAGGGTAGGTGTGCAAAAAAGTCGGGGACGTAGCAGTCTGCAGAATCGGGATTGGCCGGCTCCCGGGATCTTGGCAAGCCCTGAAGTCCCCCGCCTTTTCTGTGGGCCACTCTGAGGAGTTTTGAGCCCCTTTGGTGTTAACTTTGGATGGTGGGCAGCGCTAGGATGTAACACACCTTTGCGGTGAAAGGCAGTCGGTTTCAGCTGGGAAATCCGCGCCTACACCCCGGTTTACAGGTTAAGTAGATTTTTAAATTTTTTTTTTTTTTCCTTGAGACGGAGTCTCGCTCTTTCGCCAGGCTGGAGTGCAGTGGCGCTCGCTCTCCTGGCTGCAGCCTCTGTCTCCCGGGTTCAAGCAAGAGATTCTCGTGCCTCAGCCTCCCAAGTAGCTGGGACTACAGGCGTGTGCCACCACGCCCAGCTAAGTTTTGTATTTTTAGTAGAGATGGGGTTTCAGCGTGTTGCCCAGGCTGGTCTCCAACTCCTGACCTCAGGTGATCCGCCCGCCCCCACCTTCCAAAGTGCTGGGATTACAGGCGTGAGCTACCACGCCCGGCATAGATTTTTAATTCTATTCAGAGTCAATGAGTCTTTTTAGGAGACTGATATAGTCCATATTTTTTCTTTGTTATAAGTTGTTTTCTTTAGTATAGTTGCCACTCAGTTGTTTCCCACCCCTCCTCCATTTTTAATGACTTGAAATCCTGGCCAATATTTTACTTATGTTATTTAGACAATGTGGACATAAAATTATAGGTAAAGGATTTAGCGTTTTCTGAGATATGTCAAATTTGTACTTGGAAAAAGAGGGAAACTTTACAGTATCTGGAAAGCTCATTCTCCAAAATGATTTCTTGTGTCTTCTGTTGTAAGGTGGATATTGTTCAAAAACCAAAGGGATACACAAAATGTTTGACAGAAAGACATCCGCAATACCTTCATCCAAAAGAGTCAGTTGGCAGATTGGTGGCTTTAAAAAACAGTACAACTTTTTTTTAAAAAAGTAGATTGCTTATAGAGATTTACCAAATTTTTATCTTAGGAAGATAAAAGGTCAGAAAAGGATCTTGGAAACAGAATTTGGAAACTTTTGAGATCAATAAAATTGTAATAATTTATCATAACTGCAGGGAAAGTGGTGGAGATTGATGTTGGCCTAATAAGTAGAATCTTAGAAGTATTGGAAAGCACTGAGTAGGAGTTTAGAGCTCCTTGATGTTACCTTACAGGCTTACAACATCTTCAGGAAGTGAGGTAAAGTGTCATCAAAGCAGGAAGTGAGAGTCAGGACTTAGACATTTTCTTCTCATAACACTGACTCATGACAGTAACTATGTTTTTTAAACTTCCACATCTTTAAAAAACAAAAGAGAATTCCTACTTAGGGAAGTATGGTGAGGATTGAGTAGTATAATTGGAGTTTTTGGCTCCCCAAATATTTTTCACCCAATGATTAAAAGTATTTTTTATGCTAAAAACAGCATCTTATTTCAAGTATTTCATGTTCTGTAGTGACAGTCATAGGTGTTTCCATCAAAAAAATTATTGGAAAATTAAACTTATTAGTTAGCTATCTAGAATTTTAAGGGGAACAGTTACCTGGGAGTACAATTTAAATGAAAATTAAAAACTAAAGAAACTCTTTACTACAGTATGACCTTGAGAAGTTACTACACCTCATACTTCAGCTTCCTCTTCTGTGAAATGGGAATAATTATACCTTATTTACCAAAATAACACACTCAGCTTGGAGTTTGGCCCATTCTAAGGCCCTTAAATTCTGGTTGAATCTAAGAAAAATGGCTTTTGAAGAAAAGCATACCTAAAATCTAAATAATGGTTGGTTCAAATATCAACATGTTTATCAGAATATCCTGAAAACACCTCAGTGTTCTCATTTCTTAAAGTGAATGTTAAATATTTTAATTGTAACCAAATTTTTTCTCAAAATATGCATTAATTTTTATTTTAGTAAGGTGAAATGTTAATGCACTATCTCCTAAGCCACACTTTGTATAACTTAAGAGTGGTGAATGGTGTCTTTAATAAATAACCCTTATTAAAATTAAGAGAACTGTATAATAAGTTAAAGTCAAGAAGTAACCATAGTAGTTTTACAAAGAACCATTGAGAACCAAACCTTGGATTGATTTTATAATATTAATTTACTGTTTATCTATCTAGGATTATTTTATTTAACGATGCTGTCTGCTTTCAAAATTGTTTGGAGTAAACAGTTGCCAGCTTGTTTACTACAAACCCAGTGTGGTATTAAAAATTGCATGTTTGGAAAGGCAGATAGGTGAAGATTTGTGACCTTAGGTTTTTTTTTTTTTTTTTAGCACTTTAAAATTCTACCAGATCTTTGGTAGCTTAGAAATCCTGTGTCTTTTATGGAGGCAGAAGGAAAAACATATCATTATTTGACTAGACTGTAAAGGAAACATTAGAGTGATTTTACATATCCTGTGGCTGAAAAATAGTTTCTGTTTAAATGTGTGCAATTAAAAGCTTTTCTTTTGTTGATTGACTAAAGATGTGATCATCAGGTATAATAATGCTTGCTTTGCAAAAAGACTTATTTTCTAGGGTTTGTTATGATTAGGTAATTATGTCAAAATTCAACAGAATTTTTGTATTCTTTTGTAAATAGCAAGTTATCAAAGTTAGATTTATTGTATTTGATTTACTATGGTGGATAGAGAGGGCTTGATCCTCACTTCTACCTTAATACAAAAAATATATAGTGTGACGATTTACTTGATTTAAATAGAAGAAAATAAATATATTTCTAAAGAAGTAATGTTTCTTTTCTCTCTAGGTATGCATCCATGTGGAAAGGATGTCTGACACTTTATACTGGAAGGGGTGGTGAACTTCAAAAAATTGGGGAGTAAGTATTAAAATACATATTGTATAATTGCATACATTGTAAATATCTACGGAATAAGTGGTAGGTATGAACTGTAAACCTTTTCTTTGGCTTTTTTGACTAGTAAACTGAGTGTCTTTGGTAGCTTAATTGAAAAAATAACTTCGTGTATACAAATGTAACACTTGTCAGTACTGTTTTGCGTGGTTGAAAGTGTCAGTTTTTCCTGGCAAAGAGTGGTAGAGGAAGCTGCAGTTGAGACCAGCCTTAGTGGGAGCATTTCTGTAGGTTTTAGAAATGTTCATTTTTTAGGTGTCACAAGTGCCATTTGAAGTAAATTCTCTCTTACAGTGATTCACCAGATATGAAGCTAGTGATTCACCAAGTTTCAGGCCATACATTTAAATTTTCTTTTTCTATGGTTATGGGTGAATATGTACTCATGTTAAAAGGACTTGCAGCAATGAAAACTGAAGTCCTCTATTTATCCACAGTCTAGGTGCGGTGCAGGCAGCCGCAATGCGAGATTCCATACACTACTACCCTGGTAATGATCTCCACCCTGACCTGGAGGAGCCATCCTCTCTAGGGGTGTAAGGTAATTCAGCCTCCATGTTAGCCTAGACATTGGGTTGTATTCATAAAGTATGGTATAGGCAGTGAGCCAAATCATCAGTCCATTCTGTTTGGTTAATGCTCAGCCATCTACTTAATGCCTGTCAAATTGGAAGATATTTAAAGAGAGAAGCCACAAATGGCACCAAATAAAAAAAGGAAAACTGTTCTCCACTGAGGGAATAAGATACTTATTTGGAGAACCTGTGGTTAATAATGAAGGAAAAGAAATGATCATGCTAGCTTTTAAAGATCAGAAACGTTTAACACTTTGCCTTTGTTAGAAGGAAAGTTAGAATTCACTTAGGGTAGTATTCATAGAGTTATATGTTATGAAAGGTCTTAGTGTCTGTTACTGAAAGGTTCAGGATTCTGTCCTGACCTTCATGTATTCATACAGAGGTGTTGATAATAATGAGGGTCAGTTATGTGAAAAACCATTAGAGGTCACTCATTTCTTAATGACTGCTCTTTGTCAGGGTCAGTCTAGGATTTACCAAAACTGGTTCTGATTTGTCTTCGGTATGGTGAGGTGCTAATAAAATGCTTCTGTGTAATGTTAGTACACATTATATGGTCAACTTACAGGAAGCACTTAGATAAACTGGTGGCTATGTAGCCTGTTTTTATTTATTGCCAGAAACCACTCTTAATCCTAAATGATTATCTTTGCAGATCCACAGTGATCGATCAAAAGAGGGACTGAATGGGAGTGGGTGAATGGATCGGTGCAAATCCATTACCACTGCTGGAGAAACCACCCTGGAACCCTAAACATGGTTCACTCTCATGTTATTTTTCCTTTGATCAGCTTTTGTGAAGAAACAGGACAGAGTTGTTTTTGTGTCCTTGATTTTTGACGTGATTTATTTTTTTCAGCACTAAAGAAGAATTTAAATACAAAATAGAATGTTATATATCTTGTAGACAGTCAGATATTTGATGTTTTATGGGACGTAATCATTTGGGAAGTTTTTGTTGTAAATGAACAGATAGTTTGTTGCTATTAATTTGACACATAAGCTCTTTCCTAAGTTAGAGATGTTATATAAAGAAGGGTTGATGACTTTATTTCAGAAGTCATTTAATTTGTTCTTTATTTTCTTTCAGATTTTGTATGGTTTATTCAGAAGTGCCAAATTTCAGTGAACCCAACCCAGATTATCGAGGACAGCAGAACAAAGGGGTAATTGTGTAGTATACTTTTATGATTAGGCTAATTTTGACTGTGTTACAATTCTGTGTCTAGGTTAGCCCTGTTGATACTCAGTATAATGAGAATTTTTAAAAGAATACTTAATTTTTATTGTATGTTTTGTGAGGATGTATATCTGAGGTGTGATCTACTAGATATATGTGCCATTTTGCACTTCGTGGTGTGGTGAGTAATTATCAGGAAATAGGATATAACAGAGCTCTGAAAGGTTTGGGAAACATTTCTTAACATTTTAACCTTGAATGACCTAGGCAAAATCTTTTAAAATTTAAAAAAAAAAAAAAAAACCCCAAAACTTTGAAAAAGAAAGGATATAGTAATGTTGTAATAATATAATTATGTTTTTATTCTCATTTGGTTAAATTAAAAACTTTTTTTTAGGCACAGAGTGAACAGAAGAATAATTCCACGAATAATAATATGGGTACAGGTACATTTGGACCAGTGGGTAAGATTTTGTTTGTGTGTTTCATTTGTGATCAGGTGTAAGAATTAAGAGAGTTATAAAGATTTAGATGAAAAGCAATGTCTTTAGGCATAAATTAGTGATAAAGATGAACTGCCAGTAAACAGGGAATCCCCAAACGACTGATTCTCTAGAAGGTCGATAAACTTAAGCCAATTTATTGAGAATTCTAGGTTTTGGTGATATCTGTGAAGAGATACCATGCTTTTTAAAAAATTGATTCCTATAAAATTTCTGTAATCTAGTGATTACTTATAGTAGACGCAGAATTACTGGTTATTTTGGTGCACTGAAAGCATTTTATCTTTAGAGTCATAGTTCACCTTAATTTTTCATGTACAAGGAGCTGCTGCTTTAAAAGATGAGCTGAGCCGTTTAAAGGCTAATGACTCTCAAATGTCATTTAACGTGACCCCCAGACATCATGTTTATGATCCTATAGCCCTGTTAAAGGTCTTCTGAAGTCTTTTTTCTTAAATATATGAGGAAAGGTCAGTCTTTTGTGATTGGAGTTCATTAGGATGGCTTAAGTTTTGGTTTTGTTTTGTTTTTGAGACAGGGTCTCACTCTGTTGCCCAGACTGCAGTGTAGTGGTGTGATCTTGGCTCACCGCAACCTCCACCTCCCAGGCTGAAATGATTCTCCTGCCTCAGCCTCCCAAGTAGCTGGGATTGCAGACGTGCGCCACTACCACCCAGCTAATTTTTGTATTTTTAATAGAGATGGGATTTCAATATGGGCCAGGCTAGGCTTGAACTCCCGACCTCAAATGATCCACCTGCCTCAGCCTCCCAAAGTGCTGGGATTACAGGTGTGAGCCACTGAGCCTGTCCAGCTCATGTTTTAACTTGAAGGCTACATGTCTTGGCATAGCTGATCACATTGTGGGAAACTCCATCTTTGCCTTTAAAAAGTTAGAATAACATTGTCTGTTTTGAGATATTAATCATATTTGAGCCAAATTCCAATATTCACTATTTTGCCCTTTGTTTTACTTTTATAGTGTAGGCAATGCATTTTTTTACTCTATTAATAAATTTCTAATTTTGATGCCCAAGTTGGCTTTTTTCTCTCTGTTAATACAGCATCAAGTTAACGTATTTATAGCAATACATTTGGAAAAACTTAGAGCCCACCTTGAGTGTTTTTTTTTTCAGTAAGAAGATGAAAGTGTGTGCTTTACCTAATATTTTTAAGCATTAATAACGTGTTGGCACTTAAGATAGTTCTACTTCTATAGACTACCTCTGAAAATAGTGATGAGTTTTTGTATTCTTTTTTAGGAAATGGTGTTCACACTGGCCCTGAATCAAGGGGACACCAGTTTTCACATGCTGGCAGAAGCAATGGCCGGGGACCTATAAATCCACAACTACAAGGAACCGCTAGTAATCAAACAGTGATGACCACAATCAGTAATGGCAGGGACCCTCGGAGAGCCTTTAAAAGATGACCTATGCTAAATACTCACGTGTAGTTTTTATACTACATGCCCTACTTGAACACTTACTGCACTTTTATTTATTGTTAACTGTGAAAAGTATGTCCTTTATTGGGTTTCCTTTTATATTCTTGGTTTGTTAAGAAGAATGGTTTGTTTTTATAGCAAAACTGTTAAGCTGCTCAAGTCTCCTGTTGAAGAATGGGAACACTGAAAAGTAGGGGCATTTATTTTTAGAGCAAAAAGATTATTGGATAGCCTCTAAAAAACCTGCACCCATTTCATGGGTGAGTTACATCAGCTTTATAGCCTCTATGAGTCTATCTTCTGTATAAGTTTTGTAATATTTAACATAAGGCTTAATGGGAGATGTTCTTTTGTCTTGTATTCAGATATTGCCAACTAAAGCAGTAACTATCAAAAAACACAAGAACTTGTCAATGCTAGCAGTAATTTTTGAGTGTTTGTGGCTCTCAGAATGATTGACTTTGTTGAGTGACTACCATTAAGATTTTCCAAGGACTGACTCATCTCAAATTTTTGTTGTATTACCAGAAAAACAGATTCCTTATCAGAATGTGGAATAGAATGTAATCTATATTTCAACAAGTAATTTTAAAAGAAAGCTACATTTATTTTAGAGTAGTGCTCCTAACATGTATTATCAACTTTGTGGATTACATTGGAGGAAAATTTAAAAGTGGGGCCTTGAATATTTATTTTTTGCAACTACCATGTTAAATACTGAAGTATAATTTGAGAGAGTTATAACGTTATAATAAACATTGATCTGATCATTTTTAAAAAATTGTAAACATACTGGAGGTGAGTCAAATTGAATTATATAGTAACATGCAGTCTTAAGTCCTCGTTACTTAACAGGTACTCAGCCTGGAGTGAAAATCCTGGGTACTAACTTTGAGAGGGGTGAGTGTGCATGTTGTCAAAGTTTCTGAACACAGTTCATGTAGCCTTATTAGCAAAAGTTTTAAGAAATAGCTCTATCAAAGAAACAATTACAGTTTTATTCAGAAATGTAAAGGTGGAATTTATGTACATGTCGTAAGTGGTACCCACTTCCCCTTTTTACTGTAGGGTGGATAAACTCTTAGGATTTAACTCTTTGAATATTATCTCTTGAATAAAGCGTGTGTTAATGTTAACAAATGTACCTAATTTTTGCTCTTTCAATGACTTACAGTGGAGAGCCAGTACATCTTTACTACTGTTGTAGTGATGGTATCAGCCTTATGGTTACTTAGCTCTGCATTTGTTGCTTTGTTTTTTTTCCACTTCAAATCACAAAATAAGTAGATTTTGTTTTCTGAAAACTCCATAGCATTTGAATACAAAAGGTTGTGCCAGTTTGTCCTACTTCAGCGTGTTTAACAAATATTTCAGCACACAGTATGTGTTAGGCACTGTGTGGAAAGTGTTAAGGGTTAGATAAAATACCGAATAATCTCCACAAGTTTATTTGTCTTCTATAGTACTTTTGTAACTGGGGTTACAAAAATCATAGAAATTTTGTTCCTTTATTCATATGCATATTCATGATTATAATTTGGCTTTGTTTGTGATTAATGTTTTCTTAAGATTTTCACATTACAGAATACCTCAGAAGAAGTTGTCTAAGGATTGGGATAGAGAGTATGTTTCTTAAAATTGTGGATGTTTAGAATTTTTAAAAAACAAATTAGTATATGATTGTTTTATATAAGTAAGATAGGAGCAACACTTTAAATTATTTGTAGAAGGATGTGGCATTAAAGGTGATTTTAAAAGAAAAGATTTTGGAGTTTTAGAAAATTTAATACTGTCAGGTATGGAATGCTGGGCTTCCAATCCTGGCTTCATTGTCTCGTCACGTGTGATGTTGGGTGAGTTTTATTACACTTGAAATGTCTCTAAGCCTTAGGTTCCACAACTATGAAAACAAGTAAGTATCAATATCCTTTCTAGACTTGTTTAAGATTTCCATGTAAGTAATTATAATGACTTGCGACACATAATAATGTCATCTTATACCCCAACAGTAGGAAAAAAATGCAGAATTCAGTATGAAAGTATTGTTACCCTTTAATACAGTGGTCCCCAACCTTTTTGGCACCAGAGACCAGTTTCCTGGAAGACAGTTTTTCCATGGGATGGGGGGGATGGTTTTGGGATGAAACTATTTCACTTCAGGTTATCAGTCATTAGTTAGATTTGCATAAGGAGCGTGCAACCTGAATCCCTTGCACACGCAGTTCACAGTAGGGTTCGTGCTCCTATGAGAATCTAATGCCACCACTAATCTGACAGGAGGCGGAGCTCGGTTAGGCTCCCTCGCCTGCCACTCAGCTCCTGCTGGGTATTCCTGTTCCTAGCAGGCCAGAGTTGATATTGATCTAGCGGTTGTGGACCCCTGTTTAACAAGTTGAGATTAAATGGAGAAAGACCTAAGCTTTTACTTCTGGGATTGACACTTGCTTCAATAATGTAACCTTGTTCTGTGTTTTTATCATTTATTAACAGATTTCTTTTTTCTTAAGGGAAGCCTCCAAAAGCAAAGCAAAGTGAGTTACAATCCATAATGAATATTTGCCTTACCAGCCTACTGGAACACACTCATCAAGAAGTTAAGAGGAAGAAAGTTTTCTGCCTTCCTCCTTCCTGGTGCTCTCAGCTATCAACTTTGAAATAAGTTTAAACAACACCTACTGAAAACAAAAACCACTTAATATAAAAATATCCCTCACCAGAATTGGGTCCCCCATATCGTTTCTACAAAACGGTTCTGGAGTGGATCAAAGTCTCATCAGATCAGCTTGCCCCTTCTTGTTTGGGCAGGTTCTAGGAGAAGTTGCTCTAATACAGAAACTGAAAGATAAAATCCATAAAGCCAGATAATGATATTTAGTGGGGAAGGCTACAGTGTGCTTTCCCATAGGCATTTAAACACTCAGTTTTTCCTAGTGTACCAATGCTTTATACTTTGTCCCTATAGCCTTTGTAATTTTAACTTTGATGACAGTTTAACTTGAGGATAACCTGAATATGTATAGTAGTGTTTGTCATTTGTATTTTTATCATTTAACATTTTAAATGAATGTTTAATTTGCTGGGTTGAGTAATGCCAAGGGAATGATGCTAAAAACAAATAGATGTGAGGTTAGTAAAAGATTGAAGTTACAATTTATGATAGGAGAACTTCTAAAGTATAGGAAAGTAGGTAAATGGCCTTAAATTTTCTCAGAAGGTACAAGTTTTACATCAGTCTGCGGACATGTAGCGCTTAACATTTCAGTTTAGTTACTGAAATGACATTTTCTGGTGTCATTAACATACTGGCTGTTTGCTCCAAGCCATTTTAGGCTGAGAATGACTCTTAAGTTCTTCTAATGAATTTCAAAGGTTTCTAGAAACAGCAAACTGAACATGATATGAAATAGTAACAACATGGAATGCCCCCAAATTCCTCTAACCTTACTGAGTTTACTTGCCCTATTACTATTTTTTTTTTTTTTTTTTTTAAGATCTGTCTCTTGTCTTTGTTTTATCCCTTACCTGATGAAAGTCTGAACATATCTAGTGGAGAAAGAAGATCACAGTTCTCTAGTATGGGCATTAAGAGAGGGGTACAGGTAGGGGTAGAGGTGAAAACCTGCCTCCACTGGGGTGATAACCAGTGTGCTGAGGTTTCAGCCAGTGATTACACTGGGTAATTAACCAGTCCCATATTTCACAAAGGAGTTGTAATGATTAACAGTTCAGGTATGCTTCTGAGGAAATCTAATTGTGACCTTTGGAAAATAGCACTGTTATGAATGGTGTGGTGTTAACGCCCTGAGGGAAAAGCTAGAAAAACATTTTACTTTTCAGGTATATTTAAATTATATCCAAATGTCTCACAGTTTGCTTTACTGGGGACTGCCTGGGTTTGGAATTCAAATACTGTAACCAAATTACTCCATGTTTCTGAACTAAAATGATCTATTGATGTTTCTCAAAGTATAGATCACAGATAGGAAAAGAGGAAATCAAGTCTGGTTTATGACAAACGATTTTCCATGTTAACATTAGACCCAAAGATGTTACTAAGGGCTTTTTACTACTGTGAGATAACCAGCATGATGTGAAGACACCGAACATTTTAAGAAGTTTGACTAGTAGACGTTTCTTTTTAAGTCTTGGATGGTCTTGGTCGACGACCCACAGTTTTATTGTGGCTCCCCAGGGTTTGAGAACATGTGGGCTTGGATGATCACTGTTGACCTATGAAAGAGCACAGGTCTCTTGAGAGTTTATTGACACTACTGATTACACCCCCACAATATGTCTCAACCTCTGTTGAAGGGCTATTGATATTTTTAAACACATGTTACTTCCAATCAGAAATTCAAGTAAGTTTTATGTCTTCTACTCCATCAAAATTTATGCTTCTCAGCATAGGGTAGTCTAGTTTCTTGGTTTGTATATTAAATAGATATTGAGTAAAATTCTTAATGATTTAGAAACTATCTACATGAGGCTTCCCAGGAACTTGTTAAAAGTACAGGTTGTTAAAAGTACAGGTCTGCAGTAGTAGAATAACATCAGTACATTTGGGAGATCTGCACTTGAAACCCTGCGGTTGCCTGCCTCCTGCCCTTGAGATCTCCCTTTGTATTGAAATTATATATATATATACACACATATATATATTTTCTCAGTTTCTTTTACCTTTGTGAGGCTAATATATGCTAAAGTTTTGTATTATAAAACAAAAAATTGTACTCAAAAGAATGTGCCTCCAGAGGGCAGAATTGTTGGGTAAAGCATATAGCCCTGGGCAGAATAAGAGGTTTAGTATGGCCTCTGGATGTGGGCATTGCAAATTTTGAATAAGGTTCAAATAAAATTATCTAAATTATATATCAATGTGAGGATCAGATATTAATAGGGAGGTTACATGACTTGAGCCTATCTAGATAAAAGTAAAATGCCTTTTTTACCCTAAGTTTTTGAAAATTTAGTTTATTGTTGCTCATCTCAGCAAATTCATGTTATCGGTATCCTCTGCCTTCCTCCTGTCCCTCAATTCCCTACTTTACTATATGAAAGAAGGCTGGCCAAATTGAAAAGTAGTTGAGTTGGAGACTTGATAAATACTTTTGAAAATACAGAAACCACCATCTTCCACGTAAAGATCTCCTGTTCTGTACAGAGAGGCAACTACAATGATTATTTTCTGCAAGTAACATGGAAATCATGATTTGATTGCCATGTTTTTCTAATCTTCAGTATCAAATGTTTATAGCCCTGGTAGGAAACAAACTTCTGACCTAAGTTGCTGGACTACTTGAATAAAAAGGTAGTCAGCACAGCTAGTGCCATCTACTGGGTCATTAATGCATAGTTTCTGTCTTAAGAAATCTGGCTTAGTTTAACACGTGGGGGAAATGGTTCTGTTCCATTGAATAGCAATTTTTGCCTGACGGTGGTGTAAGCATTATATGGAAAATCATTAAGGGGCACCTGGGCCATTTGTTTTGTTTATGAACAATCAACACTGACATTAAATTTCAGTTAAGTAGATTAAACCCTGAACTGCCCCTAAAGCTATAGAAAATAGGGGAAAGGTTGCCAGGTTTTGTATTCTCATTACTATGTGTCTATATTGTTGGTGAGAAGTGTAAACTGTTAAAAATGCGTTTGGGTGAGCGGTGGTTTGTTAAAAACAATTGAAGTGGAACACGACACTTCCCTTAGAAATTTCATTCCTTTACCCAATGGTATTTGGTAAAATCCTGGTCAAATGACTGCTGCTGTTGTAGTTATGTGAGCTTTGCAGAACATAAACTATTTTAAATGCCAGAATGTGCTTCCATGAAAAAGAACATGGTTTTGGGCTGAGGAGATCTTGGTTTGAGTCCTGGATCTATTTACTGGCTCCAGGACCATGAACCTCGTTATAAAATGATATTGGAGCTATGTACTTGAAGTGTTAGGAGGACTATGTGAGCTAATGTATGCAAAACCTCTGCTCCATATCTAAGGCTCAACAAATGTTAAGCCCTTTCTCCATCAGCATTAGAAATAAGATAAAATACTGTTCATTTCTCCATGCCATTATTAGAAAACAATCTATAATTTAAAATCTGAAATATTAAGCAATTTATATGAATTATTGCAATATGTTCTTTTTAAAACAAACCAGTTTTTCCTGTCTTGTCTGGGCACAGAAAAGCACTTATGCTGACGATTTACCATGACAGCATGTAGAGTTGGGTCTTCATTACAAAGACCTGCCCACTAGCTGAGTACACTGGTATTTTTCCATTCACCTCTGCCCAGCAGGGACAAGATGATAAAAGTACAGAGAACTTGTGGGTCCAGGTTTGTGTCAGAAAGGAGGTCAGTGGCTTGCTTAGGGCCAGGCAGAGGACACATTGGAAGGAATTCTCTGTTCCTGGTGACAGTCCTCGGGATTGCTGTGCACCCAGAGGTGCGGAGTGATTTATTGGCTTCTGATAACTATAGTATTGGATGACTTCCCAACATTTTATTAAAAATTTTAAACATATAGCTATGTTGAAAGAATTTTAGCGTACATGTCTATATACTCACCACCTAGATTTTGCCACTATCAGATATCTGTGCATCCTATTAATACATTTTTAATTATGTGTTTTGAGACAGAGTTTCTCTCTCACCCAGACTGGATTGCAATGGTGCAATCTCGGCTCACTGCAAACTCTGCCTCCCAGGTTGAGTCGATTCTCCCACCTCAGGCTCCTGAGTAGCTGGGACTACAGGGGGGAGCCACTATGCCTGGTCAATTTTTGTATTTTTGGTAAAGAAGGGGTTTCATCATGTTGCCCCAGGCTGGCCTTGAACTCCTGGGCTCAAGTGATTCTCCGGTCTCGGCCTCCCAAAGTGCTAGGATTACAGGCATGAGTCACCATGCCCGGCCAACCATTAATGCATTTTTAATACATTTTTAGTCAATTACAGACACCATACAATTTTCCCTAAACATTGCAACATGCCTATTCATTAGAATTCAGTATTTTTCAGGGTGTTTTTTTTTTGGTGAAATTTACAAAGAAATGTGGAAATCTAAGTTGTGCATTAGTGAGTTTTAACAAATACCTAACTAGGCTTATATCACAACCTCTATCAAGATACAGAACATTGCTGTCATTCTAGAAGCTTCTCCAATGTGCCTTCCCCAGTCAATCTCTTTTTCCATGGCACCAGCAGCCATCACTCTTTCGATACTTTAAAAAACATTCTTATTTGAAAGGAAAATTTCATATGTGCCAAAGTCATCTCTAGATTTCTCCAAGTCTTACAACTCTCAACCATGCCAGAGTACAGCCAAACCTAGCCCCATCGTGCATCTCAAATATAGTTCCAAGATTTTGGTATTTTATTCTTTCCCTGTTTCAGCTTAGCTCCAGCTCTTTTTTTCCATCAAGATTTACACCTGTCATCCTTGACATTTGGGCAGAAACTACTGAAATGAAGGAGGACTTGCCATCCAAGGACTGGCTGAAAGGAGTTAGCACACCACTCCTCTGCCCTGAACAACTCTAAACAAGAGAAGGAGCCTGTGGCAGGGTGTGATATGAAGTCCTCAGAGATAGAGTGCCAAGCGTAGAAGGGGGTATCCTGGAACTTCAGTGTTTGCAGTTTGGGTGCTCAGTTCTTCAGCAGATACTGATTCTCAAGCTCTGATTTTCTTAAGGTATGAGCTGGGCTGACGTGCCCTCTCAGGATTTTATACTCCTAGGTTGGCATTCAGAATCGGCATAGCCAGACAGTGTAAGTTACTTGTCAAGCAAAGACACCCCGCCCCCCGCTACAATCCCCCAACCTGAGTCTACAGGGAAGCATTTCCTGAGTGAAACAGACTAAAAAAAATATAGTCATGTGTTCTTTCCCAGTCTATGTGCACGTGCACGTATGTACACAAACACATAACACATTATCACTGCCAACAGAGGTGTCTGCATTGAACTCCACATTTCTGAGTCACATGCATATCAGGTCTTTGCTTTTCCTTCTCATCAATTGTTTAAGGATCCTCTCCTTCCACTTCTTTAATGGGCTGCCTATACTTTGTTGAACACTATATGCCAAGTACTATGCTAGTGAGTTACCTACGAATGACCCTGAGAGGGAGATTTTGTTATCCCCATGAGAAGGATTGAGTAGTTTGCATGAGATCACGGTGACTGAGTTCAACACACCAAAGCCTATACTGTTGTGACTGAACAATAGTGAAACTTGGTGGCTGCTGCTGACCCTGGATGGTGCTTCATAGAGGAGATAGAATTGGACTTAGTTTTGAAAGGAAGTGTATGCAGAGGCGAAATGGAAAACAAAATATGGAATTTTACTAATTTACATTTTTACCTGAGATTAGTCATACTTTAAATGTCAACATATGACAGACCCAATTAGTCAAATTTAAGTCTACAGAAGTAGTATCAGAGCAACAGGGAAAATATGGAGCCTTGGATATTGGGAAAACTGGATACTCTCCCTAACCCCCACACAAACAGTAAAAAACCATGGGTGAATTCTATTAAGAATGGAGAAGATTTTCTAAAAATGGCTCAAAGTTCAGAAGCATTAAATGAAAGATTGATCAATTTGACTACAATTACATGTTAAAAAATAAAATGACAACTGGGAAAACTATGTGTAATATCACAAAGGGCTAATATTCCTAACATAAAAAGGACTTGTATAAATAGAGGAGACAAAACACACTATGGAAAAATGGGCAAAAGATATGGACAGTTCACAGAAAAAAAGTTCAAATGGCTCTTAAGTATATAAAAAGAAGTAACTTCACTCATAATGAAAGATGTAAATTAAAATACCACTGAGATACCATTCGTAACTTTTAGATTGGAAAAAATATGAAAGTCTGAAAACACACACTCTTGGCCAGGTGCAGTGGCTCATGCCTGTAATCCTAGCACTTTGGGAGGCCAAGGGGGGGTGGATCACCTGAGGTCAGGAGTTCGAGACCAGCCTGGCCAACATGGTGAAACCCTGTCTCTACTAAAAATACAAAAATTTGCTGGGCATGGTGGTGCACACCTGTGATCCCAGCTTCTCAGGAGGCTGAGGCAGGAGAATTGCTTGAACCTGGGAGGTGGAG